GCTGAAGCTAGGACGACGAGGGCTTCCACCCTGAGCCCCAGCCTCAACCGGTACGTGCCTGAGCCCTGCGAGTTCACAGCCCTAGTATCCTCAAGCCTTAGACATTGTAACAGCTCAGCCCGTACACTTCACTGTTTCATTGCGTGCTTTGTGCCCAAAGCACAGGCAGCCCTGCAAATTGCAGACGAGTCGGCCAGCGCCTCCAACGCCACCTGACCGCACGGTTTTTTTGTAGGATGGATAGGTTATGATCTGATACACCACTACCGCCATCACTGCCACCAAACTTGCTTACAAGTAGCTGGGTGATAGCTCGCCTAGCAGTAAGAGTACTTGTATTACTGATACCACTGCCACTACCACGACCACGACATACTCACTGCTGCTACCACTGCCGCGTGCGACCACAACGGCTACGACGATGACGACGACTACTTTTTTTGCCATCCAACGCGATGAGTAGGAGCGATTAGGTCGTGTTTCCTCACATTTTTTGAACGAGGGTCGTGCTCTCGCTTTGCTCGTTCTCACTACCACCACTAGCACCACCTATACCATCTCCCTGCAAGATTCGCCGCTGCTACTGCTCCGCTTTGGAGCAAAACCAGGTGAGCTTCCTGGACCTGGACCTCGACACGGCAGAGGTGGGCGGCACCATCTTCTGGGAGCCTCCGGCAGCTTGGGCACGACTTGGCCTCTAAGAGCCGAAGGGTAAAGCGGCGACAGAAAACGGCCCTATGTGAGTATGAAGACATTTTTTAATGGTTACCTTAGTGGCTCAGGGAAGTTCAGGGGTTCAGAGGTTGCTGTGTGTTGAGGTTCGTGAGTAGATTTTGGGTCAACGATTGTGTGGGTGTCCGGGGACAGATGCGTTTTGGCGTGGCCATGCAGGGCATCTTGCTGACATGCCGCAAGGACAGACTACAGCGCGTGCAGGACTACCTGGTGTCCTGATTGCATCTGGATTGTCCTTTTCCCGTAGCACGATCCCGACCCTCATGGCGTCAGACAGCATCCTCCCCCACAGCTGCAGGTACCATTTGCGCTACAACAATGCAGATCGTGCAGGAGTACGAATTATAGACAAAATGCGATAGTAGGTGTAAACCTTCAACCGCAAACCGCAACCAATGTCTCAGCTGTATAGGCTTCCAATTGGTCCAACAGCACAGAACTGACTGTAGAAATCCTGAACTGCTGAGCAGCTTCTTTCCCAGAATTAGACTAGTTGGGGTCTTAGTCACACTGAATGGCTTGCTTATTGCATCTATGCGTAAACCCTGTCTTGACGCTGACTTGCCTTGTCTTGCAGTCGCAGGCCGACGCGCCTGAAACCCCCAACAGTGCTAGCGAAGGTGTACTTTGCCGAGGACCAGCAAGGCCTGACGCGGTCGCAGGTGGGATGAGTCCGAAAACTCAGTCCCGACTCAGCCCCCATAATGTTGACTTCGCATTAATAACCCCCCCCCCCTTGATTGATCAATCTCTCCGGCCAGGGCCTCCTCAATTATATTCGCTTAAATCCTGGTAGGACGTACTATTAGTTCTAGTATTAGGTAGTAGTACCACTAGAATATTCCGGGCTGGATTTTATAATTGTGGGGGGTTACATTATTGTGTTCCGGCAGCTGGATTTTACAATTGTAGCGGGAATCATTAATGTGAAGTCAACATTACGCAGGATTTCTCAAGGGCGAACCCCGCACCCCTCTTGACCCACAAAGCTGAGGGTACTTTCGCCAAGCCTTGAAGTAACATAGTAGGACCTTAGGACCAATCCCAATCCGTCCGAGCAGGTGGACGTGGCTTGTCTGGAGGGAACCACCTTCGTGCCCGTCCTGCCAGAGACACCCAGGAGCCTTAGGGGACCCATTTCTGTCTGTTGGAGGCCCTTGAATTTCTAGAACATTTCGGGTTGAGAAATCATTCGCCTGTGCGCTAGCTACTACACCAAAAGGTGTCCACCCTCCTGGGAAAGCAGGTTGAACTTCAGCCACGTGCTTGTGTACACGCGCTCAGCGCTCGTGGAGCAGATCCTTGGGCTGCCAGCAGCAGAATTTGTGCTTTCGGTATGTTGTTATGCACAGCATTTTGTTTTCACCTTTTGGAGTCAACAGGACGACACCCGCGGCCAGCAACCTGGTGGATGAGGCCCCAGCGCTTCGAAACATCAGCTTCCCCGAAGCGGGTCCGCACCGAGGTTCAGGGAAGAAGAGAGCGGGGTGTTCTTGGGTTGGGTTGAGGGGCCCCTTGTGGGCAACACGCACACACACACACACACACGGAGTCTGATTCTGCAAAGGGAGGCCGGGCCTTAGGGCCTTAGAAGTGGCTCCGAATCACAGAATCAGCGGAAAGGGCAGAGTTAAAAAGTGAGATAGTGGGAGTTGTCGGAGATCACGATGCTGCAGATAATGCCTCCGTCATGACTCATGAAATGTCTAGACCATTATAGACCCTTTCATGGCTCATGCTAGCCCTTGAAACCTCCACGTGAATCTTCGATTCCCCAAGAGCGACCAAGGACTTGGACTTGGATGCTGGCGATCTAGGTGGAACACTCTCCTGGTCTCCCAGCAGCTGGGCTGTGTCCGGTGGTCGAAGGGTTGAAGATTCTGGAGGTTGGGTTTAAGTGTCGGACTGGATTTCGAAGACTTGAGGACCAAGGAGACTTGCTGGTCTTAGGAATGGGGAAATCAGACAGGTGAATCACCATGATCTAGTGGTTTCAACTTTCGAGCTTGAGGCCACCTGAGACCTGGAAGGGGTCTTATCCCCCGAGACCTCGGCTCTTCCCTCGCAAATCCCCCCCCCCCCCCCCAAAAAAATGGGCCGAGGCGACGAGGCGCTGGTTCGGAGCTACGTGGCAGCTGGGCTTTGTCCTATAGAGTCTACAGTTCGATAAACGAGAAGGTGCAGGCTGATGTAACAGTTATGTATGTGTGTGTGTGTGTGTGGGTGCGTGTACGTCTGTGTCTGTCTGTGTGTGTGTGTGTGCGCGTTCGTTCTGTTCCTGGGTAGCCTTTCAAAGGTGCTTGCCCGAACGATGTGTTGGTCTCAGAAGAAACTGTTGAGCCCGGTAAGCAATTCATAATGACATACGGCTCATGCGAAGAACTGCTTTTCGCGCCTGAGACTTTGTAAGGCCAAGGAGCCAGGCAACGAAAGAATATCCTTGCCCTAGAATCCTAGAACGAGGCTTGATCAAGGGAAGCGTTTGTCCAGTCAGGTCTATTTGGCTGAACCATCCAGTGCCAAGCTCTGCGATGCCGTCAGCGGCGTGGTTGGCAAAGCCTCAGAGGAGCTGTGCCGCGACTTCCTCACGAATATCTCGGCTCCCAGGTCGTCAGGGTTGGGGTGGAGCTTGTCGGTTTTATTGCTTGTTTTGCACAAACAAACCGGCTCAGCGGATGTTATGCCTACTCTTGGGTCCACAACCTGCCGTTTCTGAATAGAGCGCCGGACTCTCCGGGACTCCGGGGGATGCTGACTTTGATGAAGGTCTAGTCTGGACATTGTGCCGGAGACGCCCTTGGCCAACTACAGCCATCTCTTGCTGCTGGGCTCCAAACCCTCAAACCCACATGGAATGAAATTGGCGGTGGGTGCTGTATAGAGTTTTGGTGGGCTTTGTCTTTGTCCTGGGACTCTAGTGGATGCGCTTAGTGCTGATACTTGAGAGTGGGCTGCTAGAAAAGCTGCAGTCCTCTGCAAGTCCCATAAAGAGAAATTTTTTGGGCCTTCAGCAATGAGATGTTGCGAGGATCTACCTCCAATCCTCTCTGGTGGAGCAGACGACGCCCTTTGCGCATGTGATAAACGACACCCTGGCGAGCGTGTCTCAGACCCTAGGGCAAACCAATAGCCAGAAGAGCTAAGCAGCGCCAAAGCCCACCAGAGCTTGTCGAATAAATCCTGGAGTCCTCAGCACCCAAGTCAGCCAATGTTCCTCAACGCCACAACCCAAACAAGAGTAGGTAACTCCAACTAAGCCCCAACAGCCATCGCAACTCAACAACCCAGGATTTCCTTTGTGGACCTGGACCTGGACTTGGAGCACCTTAAACAGCCAGCAACGGATCTTTTGAAGCCTTTTTCAGTTGTCCTAACTGTCGTTAAGCTCTACAAGCCCTTGAGTTCCGAACCCTACAGCCGGCACTGAAATCCGGCATTTGATCTCCTAACTCCCACCCCTAGGAACCCCCAAAGCCTCAAGCCTGCATGCTAAGCCGCTAAAACTCCGATCCCTTCCTAGAGAAGCGCAAGGCACTTTGGTGGAACCATCTCATGGGTTGAGCCCGCCGATACGGGGCCTGTTGAGGGAGCCTCGCCACTGCCTTTATTTGCTGTAGGTAGGACATTGGGACGTTTCGAAAGTACCTGCATGGGATTTAACTGCGTGCTTCTTCCGGGTGTTCAGGGCCAATCTGGTTGATTGCATCTTGGCGCTTGGGAATGAGAGTTTTTAGGGAGTAGGGAGTGGTTATGAGAAGATCATGCAAAATCAACGCCGAAGGGTTGCTAGAGCCAGAGGAAATGCTGTTCCTGACGAGACCAAGGATACTGGCTGTACTTCAAAAATGCACACAGCCGCTCCCAACTTGGTTTGGTTTCGCCTGGCACTGACTCATTCGCCTTGCCTGCGGAGACGAGCTTTGGAGGAGGGCAAATTGCGGTCTACACCAAGTCGAGCCTTGGATTCACTAGGAGCTGCTCGCTGGAGGTAAGGCAGAGAATAAGGCAGGTCCTTTGGCTGCTCTTTGCTACACGGATGAGAAGAGATGTTCAGTGACAGCTTCGTCCCTGACACCCGAGGAGCCTAGTAGAGCAGACGACGCCTGTGGCGATCGACCTCTCAGCTGCTTCGCCTTCAGTTAGTTGACCTTGATGGGCTGAGAATGGGCCAATTCGGGCATGTTCAGTTTCGGCTTCCATCAGGGCTAAGATGCAGCTTTCCGCAAGGTACTTGCTACGGGCTTGCAGGTGTTGTTTTTCTTCTGATGGATTGTGGAGAGAAAATTGCTGAGGACACCATCGCGGTGATCGGCAATGCCTCCTTTCCCGACTTCGATTTAGATCGGGGTGATCTCGGGGGCGTGTTCTCCTGGGAGCCGCCGGCAGACACCTCCAAGGTCACCCACTACGTGGTGTACATGGCGAGGTGCGAGGTTTGACGATTCGTAAGCAGCCCTAACTTGGTCGGTCCACTCTTGAGAAGAAGCAGCAGGCTTTGGTTGCAAAAGGTTCCCTGCAGAGCACCAGAGAACACCCCCAGGTACCACGACAACGAGTCCCAGGACTGTTACGAGGATGTGGTCCAACTGTCAGCCTCTGTTACCGGAAGCTTCTCCTTCTCCGTCCCAGCCACACCCGAGCAGGACGGAAAGGGGCACCGAAATGCTGATAGAATGTGTTTGTAAGAACAGATGAAGGCCACTCGTAGGGCTAGGGATTTGTGCATGCCGAACCTGGGACCCTTGTGTTTGGTTTGATTCGCGCTGCTCCTCAAATCTTTATACAAGAAGCTCACGGTGCGTAGGATCTGATCCGTTGATTAGAGAAGCTTGGGCTTTAGGAGCTGCGAGACGCATTCGTTTTGCCTTAGCCTTGCAGCCCTCGCAAGGTGGAAGCAGCGGCCCGCCAGGCGGTGTTAGCAGCCCTGCCGGGCATAGACCCGAACAACCTCTTCGTGGTGGTGGCCAAGGTCCAACGGTCATCCATTTGTTCTTGCTCTGTCTGCGTTTCAGAAATCTTCTGCACTGCAGATGTTTGTGGAAGGATTGCATTTGAGGCTTTGTGTGGGAGGGGGGAGGAGGGGGACTGAGAGCATTTGCAAACTTTCACTCGACTCAATTTCCTAAACTTCCTGAACCCAAAGCTTGCGAAGGTGTCGCGGCGCCTCATGGAGGAAGGCGCTTCGGAAGGCCGACGCCTGATGAGCGTCTGGCAGGCGGGTGCTCCGTGAAGGTTTGTTGCAGGAACCACATGGAACCGCCTACTGTAGGGACCTCGGGTTTAGGGTATGTAGATGGTTGCAAGTTAATCCCGCACGAATTCCCCTAAGGTGACCTACGAAGCTGCCGTGCCACTGGACGCTGCCCTGGCAGCGCCTCGAAGAATGTCAGAGGCAGAAAAACCACATAACAACGAGGGCACAACTGGACTCACAAATCCAGACTGACAAGCTTGACTGTTGCGAGGACTGGACTTGTGTTGAAATCCCACGCGTCTTGATAGCAGAGCAATTTCGTTTCGTTCTGAGGTCTCTGCCTCCGCTGCCGTGCTGAGCTCCACCCCGGCCGACTTCGCCGAGGAGAGAGCTGGAAGCAGCCTTTAACAGCATTGTTTAGCCATTTGCTGACTACGGTGCCACACAGCATGCAGAATCCCAAGACATCCCCTACATTGAGAACAGTGCATTTTGCTGAGGATCGAAGTTGCTAAGCTTTAGGTTCACGCTTGACACCGTCTAGGCACCATTCAGAGGGTTTTGGCTGGGAGGTGTTGGCCACGGCATTGCAAGACGCGGGTGTGTCCAGCGCCTGGGCTGTCTCTGACCAGTGCTATGTCGTCTGAGCGCTTTAGATTTTGGTGGCCTTCCTGCCGAAAGCCGTTTGCATTAGTGGCTGTGCTGAGCAGTTACTGCTGGACCCCACAGAAGCCATCAGAAGCCACAGAAAGTTCGGCAAGAAGCTGAGGTGCAGTGACGGCTTCCAGCCTCTCTGTGCTGTCCTTTTCACGGCTCACAGTGGACACTGTCGACACACAGCAGATCCTGGAGACTAGGCTGCATCGGGAGATACCGGGACGTGTTGCTGCCACATGAGGCGATCAGGATCACGCACAGCAAGACCATCACTGCTGATTGCCATTTTGCTGTTCCGAGAGCAGCCAAGGAGTATTTCTCAACAGTTACGGCTCAAACAAACGCCAGCGGGTCGGAGGATGGCGGTGACGACGAACCATCACCTAACGTCTCAAGGAGGCTGTCTTCCTACGACTTTTCCGACGCTCCTGAGGACTCGGATGCGATCCCTCGGCAGCTGTCAGCAAGCGTGGGGCTTTTCTCCTTGAGCCTTAGCTGGTGCCGGAAGTTTGTTGCTAGCACGCTGGAAGGCAGCACCACCATTACGGTTCCTCCAGAGACGGCCCTCGCAAATTGGACACACTACCTTGTGTATGCCTCCTCCAGCCTTGCAGAACAAAGCTATCCAAGAGCCTTGCTCATTGCGGATGAAGATCCTCAGCTGCCTTATTCGTCTTAGCTTTGGTTCACGTAGTTCCTTTCGTCAACTATGCACAGACTTGTAAAGGCGCGGCAGGTTGCATTATTTTCAATACCAGACATTCATCGCCTTAAACAGCACATCAAGCCCTATCAACATGCTCACAGACCTTGAAGCCCCCAGCCCAGAGAGAGCCAAGGACTCCAGCGTCTCCTCTATCTCTTTCCTGGGACACTCGGCCAACAGTTTTTGCGTCAGGGATGCCCTCAAGCCTGAACCCCGTTGCGCTATCCCAAGGGAGCTCAAAATACACCCTGAACCCTACTTGAAGGGAAAATGACCCGGAAGGCCCCGAAACGCTGGGTTTCGAAACCCCGGCTCACCGGCTTCCCCGAAGTTCTCGCAAAGGACAGGACCTGGATTTCCACGACCTGGGCGGGCGCTTGAGCTGGGACCCACCGAACTCCACGGAGCGGCTTGCGGCATATGCCGTCTACCTGGCCGTGGCTTCGACCCCAAGGGTGTGTTTCGGGAGGTTTGGGGGGTGGGGGGGGGTTCATCGGGAAGTGTTTTATGGGGGTCCCTGAACTGTGAAGCTTTACTTTTTTACAGAACCTCCCCAAATACACCTCCAATGTCGGACACGAGAGAAGTATAGAGAAGTGAGGAAAGCTCCTCGGGTGGCAGCCGTTCACAGCTCGGCTTTGAGTTGGCTCCGGACGTTCTCTTCTACGATGTGCCTCCGAAGCTAGGTGACACCAGCATCAGTTTGAAGTTCCGGGGTCAGGCAGGGCTTGTACAATGAAATGGGTTTGGGATACCATGGTCTCTTGAAAGGGATTCTTGGGCTTCAGAAGGCCTACTCATAGGCTCATATGTAGGTTTCCCACGAAAGATGGAAAAGAGCCCGAACTCAATTCCAGGGCGATCGTTTTGCCCCTTACGAAAGTCTTACAAGGAACACGCCACGCGACAATTTCACCCACTTCACAGTCTTCACCAAGTCCGTCCTAGTGGAGCAGACGACGCCTGCCTTCCTTGCCATCCAGGATGAGGTGAGTTCTCTAAGTCAGGAGCTTTCTTACGTGCTGTCGACTAATGAGAGCGAACTGGTGTATTTACCCCTCAGTGCTGCAGGCATCTCGGGCGAACAATGTGTCCTTCATCGACGATGACCTGGATTTGGGCGAGATCGGAGGTAACCTCTCGTGGCTGGCCGCGGTGGATGATTCTGAGGCACCTCCAGTTCCATAGACAACTCACAGTGAGAACGTGTGAGTAACCTGTTGGCACAGGTGGTGGAGTATGCCATCTATCTGGCTGAGGGCCGGGATGGTACGAACCGGAGCTTGCTTGGCAACGTCAGTCGAGATGTATTCAGTTTCCTGGTTCCAGACGCTGGGCTCCCAAGTGGTGGATTCTCTCTCTATTTTTCTTGCAGTGCTCCTTCTTCCCCCAGGTTCTTACACACTTTGAGGTTTAGCCGTCTGAGTTTACAGACCTTTGTCGTGCACAATTTGTTGAGCGGCTAGCAAGCAAAATGCACCTTGGCTGCTGAAAGCCTAGGACAACACTGAGCTGCTGAGCTCCTGGGCTCTCTCAAGTCAGAAAAATTTACTTAGCTTGAAGACAGACTTTTTGGGCTACATCACCTCATAAGTAGCGTGGCATTCGACATCTTCTGGTGTGGCCTATCTATGAACAAGGGCTGATTGTGCGTGGCTTGCCGCCAAGAAGTCCTAAGGTTACACGCACTTGCTGGTCTATGGTAGGTCGCCACTGGAAGAGCAAACAACGCCGTCCTCGGTGGTCATCATTGAAACCATCGCCAGCGTCGCCAACGTGTCCTTCACAGACTTGGACTTGGATGCCGGCGAGCTTGGCGGCACGGTGTCCTTTCTACCGCCTGCATCCGCTGAGCGTGTTGTGAGCTACGTGGCATACCTGTCCACGGGCTTTGGGGACTCCATGAGTGACAGGTCGCAATTGGGGTCAGATATTGTCGTCGGCATAGACTCGGAAGCTCGGCAGCACTATCTTAGAACTCCTGGAAGCAGTAGAAACATACAGACATACAGTTAACATTTTTGTGTTGAGCGTGCTTCGCAGAACATGTGAGGAAGCAGTAGGCATTCTGCCTGACACTGCTCTGGCCAACTTCACCCATGTGCTGATCTACACCAAGTCACGACTTGCCGAGCAGTCGACTCCAGTCGCCATCAGCTTGCAAGACACTTCCTTTGCAAGAAGCTGCTTCTGAGTATCCGCAAGCTAGGAGTGATAGTTTAATTCAGCTGAATTGTAGGTTCCTCAAGAAAACACGACGAAGAACAAGAAACACAACAGCAGTACTTGTTGGAGACCAGGACAACAACGCTTCGGCATCCACCGTCCTCTTCGCAGATTTGGACTTGGACTTGGGTGACATCGGAGGGCCTCTATTGTGGCGGGCTCCAGCTGACACGTCGCTAGTCACGCACTACGAGGTGTACCTGACTAACGACACCATGGCCCAGTGGAGAGAGCACTACGCCACACTGCCCGTGGGGACGACTAACCTGCAGATCCGCGCAGAGAAGCGTTTGATGACAGAGAGCACGCACCTGGGCCATCGTTAGTACTTTTTTCTCAGGTTGCATTTGCCACAACAGTTCACTAGCTCGAGTCAGAAATTGTGGGACACCGGGATACATTGCAAAAAACAACAACAAAGGTACCTCTCCCACTTCCTGGTTTACACGCGGTCGGCCTCTGAGTTGGGCAGAAACCAGGACAAATCCGTATACGAGATTATGAGACCTGCTTGGAACGGATCAGCTTATGCAAGGCGTAGGCACCTGACTTCGATTCGATGAGCCTTCAAGAAACAGCCTTTTAAGTCACTCTGTATTCACTCTGTCACTCTATGCCTTGTTCTGCCAGATGTGTAGAATTGAAGTGGCTATGAAAAAGTGCCCTTCGCTTCAGCCTGAGAAAGCTGAGCAATTGAGGTCCGAACTTGTGGAACAGTCGACCCCCAGCATGCACCAGATAGTGGACGAGTTCGCCAGCGTCTCGAACATATCCTTCACAGACTTGGACCCTGGGTCAGACTTGAACATGGCTTTCTGAGTATGGCCACACTATCGAACCCACAGCTAGCAAGCCCAAAACAGAGGGAAGAAGGGCGCAGTTCCAAGAGTTGGGAATGAGCGAGGATCTGGATCTCGATGAAATTGGAGGCTTGGTGTCTTGGGACGCTGCGGCCAAGACAGATCTCGTGGAAGGCCGCTAGTTCAGTTAATTGTGAACCGCCGTTGAGTGTTACATTTGCGCGAATTGCTTGGAAGATTATTCACATATCGTATCTTCGCCTTTTGGATCAGTTTGCTTCTTGGAGCAGTGGCTCCGTGACTTGTTTGTTTTCTTGACCTTGAGGCTACAACCTCTACGTGGCCGACTCCCCTGACGGTTCCTTCCGATCACAGGTGGAGGACGGAGTGCCAGCTGGAAGCTCAGTGATCCCGCAAAAAGCCCGCAAAAAACCTGATGGATGTAGGGAACAAGTAGTTCAGGCCAAAGAACCCCGCTTCTGAGCTGAGATCTCGGTTCTCTCCATTCCAGGGGTCCGAGACACGGTCATTAGAAGTCGGGAAAAATGGAGTTACCATGACGCTTCTGATGCCGTCGGCTGAGCAGAACCCTTGAAGAGACGAAAACCAGCACTGACGAAACAACAACTAAACCCTTCACCTTCAAGCCCTACCCCAAAACCTCCAAACCCCTGAACCCCAAAACCCTGAGGCCTAAACTCCCTAAGCCCTCTACCAGCGCTCACTGAACGCCTCAAGTGCTGCAGAAGTAGAAGAACAAGTCTGCCAATGGGAGTTTCAGTGGTTGGCAGCGTTTTGGGGATCTCTGAAAAGCTTGGGTGAAGGGTCCACACTGAGTCTACAGTCTACACTTTAGCAGATCACTACTTTGTGTGTCTTTACCCAGCAGTTCTTCTAAACAAGGGAGGGGGGGGGCAAAGACCTGCTTGGGATTTTCCAGAGGCTTCAGAGCGCCCGAGGGCTCAAATTTGGGGGGGATTTCAGGGCAGCTCGGGCGAGTTCAGTTTTGTAGGTAATATTTCCTGAGCCAGGTCAACGTCACAACCCTCGAGATTTTGTATGACACCCCACGGCAGAACTTCAGCCACCTCGTGGTGTACACCAGGCGCCAGGAACACTTCAGGAATTGCAGTTGTTCTTGGCAAGCGCCGGATGATGCTCCATTGTGACAGTATCTCAGAAAGGGAACTCATGATGCCCATGTTCTGGCCCAGAGCAGAGGTTATGATGTGGTTCTTGAACCGTTAGAGATCTTGGCCTCGGGTTCTGCCACATGTGCCCCAAAATCTGGATGGACCTGTAGCACACGAAAGCAGACGAAAGCATCGCTGGGCCCGTGCTCGCCGAAGTTTGGTGGGGGTCACCAGGTCGGCACTGGTGGAGCAGACCACCCCAGTGTCTGCAGCCCTTCTCGATTCGTCCGCTACGGCCACGACCTTGGCCTGTAATTCTCAGCTGTGTGACCTCCCGTTCACTTTGACCATGTGAGCCAAGGCAATGCTCACGTACTCCCCTTGATACATACTATGACCATGAATTCGAATTAGAATAGGATCCATAATCTCATGGGTTTGCTTTCGAGGGCTAAGGCCGTAAGGCATCATGCACACGGCTCCTCAATTGCCGCATATGTCCCGCATGCCGCGAGTTTGGCCGCGTATTTGAGTCGAGTCTCCAACGCTCTCAAGCCTTTAGAGGGCCCCTTAACGGTGGCTCAACACACACTCCTCCAATGCCCCTACTCAGTTAGAACCTTTGTCGGCGGCAATTCAGTTCCCAAGGTGTCAAACGTGACATTCACGGACTACGACCTCGACGCCACAGACATCGCTGGGCCATTGGAATGGGCTCCGCCCAGCGACATTTCGGAGCCTTGGCGCAGTTCCTGAAAGTGTCATCGCAGTAGATGTAAGTTCATCTGCATGCCAGATCATACTTGACCTGCGTTTACAGACTTGATTGGGCCAGGAGAACCTTTACTCGTACCAAAGTCTTAACAGCTACCGAGCTTGAGCAGGCTTGGGAGGTGTCTACGTTTGCCCACGCGGTTGGGTGAAAGCTTTTTGGTTTGTGGATGCCCCGGCTTTAACTGTAAAGGGCCATTGCTCAGGAGGTGGCCACGTATGTTGTGTACTTGGCCAGATCCGCGCCAGTCACTTGGCAGCTATCGTGGGGGGTGGTCTTAAAATTTTTGCCTCGAGTTCAGGCCTTGCGGCCTTGTGCTGAGTCGGGCAGGCCGTACAAGGAGCGTCTGGACTTACAAGCTTCCTCACCCGCCCTGCCCCATGCCTCAACCCGCCAAGATGTCTGAGAATCCCCATCGCTAGAGAACAAGCCCCAAGCCTGAGACCCGACAGCCGAAAAAACACGCCCTTTGTTGAGCGTGCTGCCCATAACGGAACTGCCAAGTCCCTGAGGCAAGACTGTTTCCAAACGTGGTTGCATGAAGCCATATGAAGCCACACCCTTCAGATGCGTTCGTTTGGCCGGATGTGTTGTAAAGAATCCCGCTCCACGCTCCAATATTTGTCAGCATGGTACGTAGGTCAGTAGCATCCCCCTTTTCTCTTTTGCTATGAGGTATTTGGTGGAGCGCGGGTTTGCTCCCAACGCCTCGAGTCCATGCAGGCGACGTCGGCTCAGACAGAGGAGGCCATTCGCTTTTTTTCACGTAGTGACGTAGGGAACGGTAGGTGGATCCCGACTTATGAAAATCCAAGACAACCTTCCTGTTTGCAAAGACAAGGATTATGTGGTGTAGGGGGCAGCTGTAGTGACTTTTTCTTTCGAAGCTTCTAGTTCTAGTCACAGGGCTTTGCAAAGGGCCTTAGGGTGCCTTAGGCATCTTAGGCATCTTAGGCATCTTGGGCCCTATGGAGCGCTTGACCTCTTTTCATGTCCTCCACCACTCCACCAGGCAGACCACGAGTTCCTTCTCAGCGGCAAAATCCCGGCAGACTCGGAAGGCCCGGAGCCAGTCGCAACACGGGAGGTGTAGGGCCGTGCAGGCGGTCTGTTGCGAATCAGATCTTCGTCCAGCCCAGGCTCTCAGACCCTATTAAGCCCAACTGGAATGACAGGAATGACGTCATGGAATGTTCAAACCCCTACTCGCACCCTCTGTTACCAGGTGCTTCGTGGGCGCTCATCGCTGGGGCTTTCACCGTCAATGCCGAGGGCGGAGCCGAGGCGGCGGCTCTGGCCACGCAACGACCTCAGCTGCTGCAGCTTTGGGGATATCTTTGAGTGTAGCAACTCGCTGGAGCTTATGCAGTTGTCTTAGCCCGAAGTGAAAAACCAGCCGCTATTCTTCAGCAGCAGGCGCCTTGCACTTGCTCAGCTCCTAGACGTGGACGAGGCCAATGCCACTTCGGCTTGCTGTGGCAGTGCTTAATCCTTTACGCAAGTTGTAGAAACCGCTCTGGTCATGTCCCTGGTCCGAGAGCCCTGGCCATCCCTCGAGGTTCAAGGGTCCGTTAGAAACTGCTTCGGGTTTGGGCGCTCATGGCCTCTTTCAGGCTCTTTCACCAAAATCCCTGACTGGGCACGTGTCGGTATGTGCCAGTTTCCTATAGCCAAGGTCACCACAGCAGTCGGCGGCCGGCGCCTAGCAGCTGGCAGGCTGGATTCAGTTTGCTTTTTGTGTCGGGACTTTGCGCATACGGATTGGTGTGGAGCATTTGCTGAAACCTGAAACCCATATCAGCTTCAACAGATCCGGACAGGAGCCTAGCCGCCAATGACTGGCAAATCTCCTTCCAGGCGGTCGTGCCTCAAACGTCAGGGCCACAGCACCAGATTCGTCAGATGCACGGAATGCCCAATTCGGGTGGGTCGATGAAGGGTGTGTCCCATGCATGTCTCGGCAGGTCCTTAAGGTCATCCCTGGCGCTGTTGCGTGGCCTGGCGACAGATGCAAGCAACTTCGAAGCTTGGACGGCCCACTTCCTCTACGCCGCTGGGATCGAGAGGCCGCTGAGTTGATGAACAGAGCAGTGTTTCACCTGGGGTCATATAGTGGCGGCCAGTAGTCGTTCTCAACCTTCATTCTGTGCCACGCTCCGGGCTCGCACTAGCAAACGCTTGAGCCGTCGAAGTGAGTATCTGTCAGGCAGGCTAGGTACCGCTTTAGGCTCCACAGACGTTCATAGTGGTTTCATGTGGTGGGAGGTTTAAGGTATTTAGTCTGGACTAGTTGTCGCTTGTTGTTTCGGCTCCGGGAGTTCTCCCCTTATCCCATGCTGCGCCAGGGCGATCGCAGCTTCCATCGGCATCAGCGACATGACTATAGCAGAGGCTATGAGCTCCTTAAATGGTGCTACATCTGCTACATTGCCTCAAGACTGCAGCCCCCCTCTCCCCACCCAATGTTCTCTCATCAGGGAGCTGAAGCCTACATATGCACCTCAACCCCACTACATCAAGTACTCTGACACAATGGTAAATCCAGTAGCTGTTTTGATCTAGCGTTTCCTTCCTACTGGTCCCAAATGCCTTCAATCCCCTTTGCTGGGAATCCTGAAAATATTGACAATCACTAGCACCATGTTTTTCGCGGGGTGTCCGATGCCGGAACTGTCAAGCCTGGGGCAGGCCCCTTTGTCTGCTTGGCTGGGGGTGGCGGAGCAGAATGTATCCGTGCCCACCCCAGCTTCCAACATATGAGGGAGGAGCATGAGGGTCGGATGCTTTTTTTTAGAACTATTTAAGCTTGAGGGTTGGGTGTGGCAGTTTCTTTGGGACTTATCGAGCTTGGACATGTTTAAAGGGCTCTTGTCGTCCCATTGCTTGGAGACTACAGGCATGGGTGTGAAAGTTCAGGTTCGGGGAGTTCTTGGCCTCAGGTTGACAGGACAATTCGGGCCTCACGCCAAGTCTCCCTGACATCCCGGGCTGCCGATGTGAAGCACAGCCTCCCAGGGACAAAGACGTCCCCGAAAGCCCTAAGACAATGCTTCAAATAAGCTTCAAGAGGCACAGCCTCCCGCGCTCTTTCGAAAGTTTCTCAAATGTAGTCAGAAAAAGAACACCTCAACCCCAAGTCACAATCTCCAACATCGGGCCTTAAACCCAAGGACTCCGAGGACCGCCTGCAAGCCCACAGCATAGCCTTATAGCAGCGGCAGGAACCCACGAGCCCAGGGCCCGAAAAGCGCAGTATGCGCAGTCAAAGCTACACGTCGTTACGGCTAAGGACATCCATGCTGCATCCCTCGGCCCCGCGATCGGAGGGACCCTCCTGGCAATCTGTGAGCGGAGCTACGTTACCCGGCCGGGCTTAGAAAACGGCAGGGCTCCGGGAGCAGCAATGAAAAGGATGTAAAACGATGATCTGTAGGTGTGTAGGCCTGTATAGGCATCAGGATGTGCATAATGGGACCTGCTCAGAAGCTAGCACCAGCCGGGCAGCAGAGGTCGGGAATGTCTCCATTGGCACGAACTTGCTGGATGTCCCCGAAGAGCACTTCGGCAGGGAAGGTTTGCCCCTGCAGCTGAAGCCGAAATGACTCATGACAAATACCTCCAGACTCCAGGCCCCGCATCCTACACTCCTGCCCTTCATGCCCTAAACCCCTAGACCCAAGACCCTTCACCTACCAAAAGAACACCACTTGCAATTGGCACGCAGTCCTCGTGTGGGAGCCCTGCAGGAAAGACTCTGAGTAGTGGCATTAAGCATATCAGCTTCCCAAGATGCTTTGAAACATCGCTAGGTTTCTGGGAGCCCCTGATATAAGCACCAAGACTCGATCGCACATCAGAGTAGACTCTTAGAGTCTTACAGTCTGCACCCAGGTCTGCCCTTCAAGCCTTCACCCACCTCCTGGTCTACACCGTCTCTTCGGAGGGTGTGGAGCAGTGGCTTGGCTTCTCCGGCCAGGGTTTGTCGCCTTGGTATAGTGACCAAGATCTGAAGTGGTGGAGTTCAGGGGACTGAAATGAATCTTGGGGTTTTGGTCCAACGCCCTTCGCGCTGACCAGTGCGGTACCAGCATTGTGTTTGCGTGCCATTGGTGTGGGTGCTTCTTGTGCCGCAAATGTCTCGCAGTCCCTAGGATTAATCTGCTAAGCACACGCTTCTGTGCGCCTGCGTTTGGCGGGCCTCTGTTGGCAGAGCAGCGATGGAAATACCTTTGGTTGAGTTTCAGGCAGTAGCCCAGGAAAACATGAAAGGGGCCGCCGCCACGACACAAAACGCTTCGAAGGTCTACGCCAATGGCGACGCGGATCCTGGACGTCACCAGTAGCATCTCTAACTTGGCTTTCGTGGACAAGGCCAGACGGCGCCTTGAAGCTGTCTACATCTAGATCCCTCTCACCTGGCACCCTGAGCTGCAGGACCTGGATGAAGACGAGCTTGGGGGCGACATCTACTGGCAGGCACCCAGTGATTCGAGGAGCGGGCCACCTGATAGGGCAACTGGAAAGCGAGGGAGCGCTAAAAGGAAGTGGGGGGTCCGAGGGCTCTGACGTAAGTCTACGTAAGTCTTTGCATTTAAGGCATCGCTTTATTGCTTAGGGGTGCGCTGCTTATATAGTGTACAGGGATCTCCATCCAAACGCAGCCTGTCAGAGATGACACAAAGAGCGGTCCAGCGATCAGCAGTCGGTCTGATGTTGGAATTCCCAGGCTTGTACAGGGTTTGAATCACGGTCCCACCATGCCCTAAAGGCTTTCAAGATCCTTGGGCTCCAGCTTATCCGAACTTGAAATCACCATGTATCTGCTGCGAAGCGTCGAGGAGAGTGCTGGGGTATCGGGCCTACCTCAGTGCTGGGCTGCTGGCAGGGCAGTCGAGGTCACTCATAGGCAGCTGGGAGTGCAACATTGTGACAGCGGGGGTGTTCTTCAAAAACGCCGTGGCAAGATGTTGTTAATTTTCATTCTGGTTTCTACGAGGTCCTTAAACTTAGAGTTTGCGCGTGACTCTCGCATGCACATGATTGTTTCCAGATCACGGTCGCTGATGACTGTTGTTGCGACCTCAAGAATGTTTTGTGCTGTCGCAGTGTTGTTCCGCGATAATTCCATCTGCTGATGATGGTCATCATCAGCGGTGGTGGTGCAGCCACACCACCACGAGCACCCGTAAGCCACCACCAGCATCATGAGCATCTTATTGGTTACGCTGTGTATTGTCGCTGTTGCTCTGGTACTTTCCTGCTGCGCAGGTTCCGAGGTCACTGTCGGCACGAACCAGACTTTCTTACCTGCGGAGACCCTCCTGGACACGTGGACACACATAGCGGCCCGGCCCTCAGTGGGTCAAGCGAAGGGTCTTGGCCCTCAATGCGAGCAAAAACAGTGAGATATTGTGAGAAGGAAACTTTGGCAGAGGGAAAAACGCGAGCTGTTAACAGTTTTGGAAGAGCTTGAGAAAAGGAATCTTTCCCTTGACCGCGAAGAGCACATGACCTCTCACTTTGTTGGTCAAAGCGTTTCCTAGAGTTTTGAGCTGCATGGCCGATTGCCAGTCGGCGATACCCAGAAATTCATGGGAATGCACAAGTAATCGAGAGGTGGACAGATGATTTGAGAGGTTGACAGGTGCGATGCTCTCTCATCTCCCTTCTCAAATATGGCATTTTGCAAAACAAAAAGATGGATTAAAATCAATCTTCCTTTTTCTTTCTTGGTCCAGGGGCAATAGACAGAGGCTGAACGCATCATTTCCCCTTTCTGGTAGTATATAAAGGAGTCGTTTCTGAAGCGATTCACCCAAGTTGTCATGCTGTTTTCGCTTCCTCACCTTCACCATGCAACGTTTACTCTGTCAAGCTCGCAAACATGTCCAAGTCTAGTTTAGTCGATTGACATGTATTGACATTCGCGTTCTCCCACTCGCTGTTCTAATCTCTACTAGTCGGCCGTGTCAATCGGCAGCGGCCTTGTCCTCAGAGAGGAAACGTGTGCAGTCCTTCTCTCAAGCCTTTACGAAGCATCTACTTCGGCGGCGCCTGATTAGATAGATGTTCACAGCCGCGGACTGTCAGTCAGCCAGGCAGGCCTCGCGGTTCACACACGAAGCCCTCGAATCAAAATATGTTTAAATTCCCTGCACTTTCCGAAAGGTGCTGAAATCTCAATCCCAGCAGCCCTCAAACAAAAGCCTTCAGGTCTTCACACGCTCGCAACTCGTGGAGCAAACAACTCCGGCAGGCAGACCGCTGGATGAGTCAAGAACATTCGAGCGTTTCTTTCTTGGGCTTTCTCCCTCTCTCTCTCTCTCCCTCTCTCTCTCTCTCTCTCTATGCATACACACGATTCGTAAGTTTGATGTGAATTACTGTCTACGGCATGCGTCCCCAGTGTGGAGTCATCCAAAGCGCCGAGTTGCACTTAATATTGTGATTTCATGCGATCTCATTCCAGTCTTGTTCTATTTTTCATTGCTGGTTCTTACAACTCCAGCCGCAAACGCCCAGACCCCCACAGCTACGGTGAATTGGTTCCCAGCATTCCCTCGACAAGGTCCCGGATAATTAGAACAACTGCATTGAGACACTGAACGGCAGGCGGAAGCATCTCTGACACTTCGGCGTCGGTTTCGGCCATCGACTTCCCTGACAATGCCCCTTGAGCTTCCAAGCGTGTGTGATTGTTAGCGGCTTCTTCAGAAAGTTTCCCGATTGAAGCTTAGGTTCTTCATAAAGCAGAATAGGCATTCGGAGGATGACTTCAATCAACCTCTCTCAGCTCAGTCTTGAGCCCCAAAATGAAGTCACTCGCTACTGTCCCTCACCTAGATGCTGAACCCTGAAGGCCGTAAAGTCCTGCAGCATCCTACAACCTTTCAACCCTGGTGAAGCCCTTCCCCAAAGCAGCAATGCCGGCGGCGATGCCTTGGACCCTGAGGATTTGGATGCGACCGACCTTGGTGGCACCATTGTTTGGCAGCCGCCCAACGATACCGAGCAGGCTGGGCTAAGGGTGAGTAGTTTCGACGTTTATGTGCTGGAGAAACGCGGGGAGGGAGTGAGGAATTCCGCCGACTTGGAAGCACCAGCTGTTCAAGCCAGGTCACCGACTTCATCATCTACTTCGCTGAAGTCTGCCAGGCCCACCCCCACGTCCAACGGCCAAAGCTCATCATCAGCCGTCATCATGTAAACTGAATAATCACACAAGAGAGCCATCTGCAAGACACACACCGAGGCAAAAAACCATGATCTCGTGCCAGGACTCCGTGTTGGCTCTCGTAACGGGCCAAGTCACTTTCCAACTCCCCGGGGCCAGCGCGGAGCAGGTGGAGCCTGCCGACCTGCTCGCAAGAAGTCCCATTTCATAAGGAGAGGGATTCGGCCCCTAAACCCTGAGGCATCTTTTGAACCTTTACAAGTATTTACAGCTATTTACAAGTCATTTTGAGTTTCAACGCCACGTTTTCCAAGGCCGTCAGGGCGGGGCTGGCTGCGATCCTCGGCATCAGTGTCTCGGCCTTCCAGCTGTGTTTGGGTGTTTGCACAAAGCACTGCGCAGAACTGAAGTCCTTGGCTCACGCGTGTCCGACAAGCATACGAGCGCAGGGTCCGTGCTAACAAATGCGCAATTGCACTCGCTGCGAGGAAAGAATATGAACACCCAAGAGTTTTTCAGATACGCTGGCAGAAGGTGCCGTAAGTTGCCGTGAACAATCACTCCATAAACCTCGGCTTTGCAACAAATTGCCTCGTTCCGGCGTCAAAGGTGATCCCAACACCATTGTGTTGGCCATCACGACAGCGCGGCGGCTTACAGAGATGGAGAGGCAACCCGAGACATGAAACATTGTGATACATTGTGTAACCCATTGAGATGGACAAATGTCCGAAAGCGCCTGACGGTCGCGCTGCTCGGCTGGACTGGACACATGAGCAGCTTACTCCAAACTCCGAAGCTTCCGGAGCCAACCGCAGGCGGCTCTCATCCACGTGGGAGGTGACCTACAGCATCCAAGCTGCTGAGCTCCACCGATCAGTTTGGGGTTTGGGGGGGAGATGAGCGGAATAGGTTCAGGGCTGAGCGTTGCCGGAAGGGGCAGGAGAGGGGGTGCAGGTGCTTGAGGTTGAACAGTCGTGGCAGGGTGCGAGCGCAATCCTAGTGCGCAGGGTGGTAAAGTCGTGCATCAGCATCGTCAAGAGCTTTAATCAAGCACGGCAATTAGCGCAAGCATGCACATAGCATCTCAGAGAGGCAGTGGCAGTCGCCAGCTAAGGTCCCAGTGGCAGAGGCATCGCTTGCAAGCGCTTGAACTGTTGGAATGATCTGTAGTGTAAGCCCAAACTGCTCTGTCAGACAGGAACCCCATTTTCCTGCAAGGCTCCGTGACTCCAGCGTTGTCTAGGAAGTACACGGTAGCCCTCAACGCCTCGTTGCACCAAACCCAACGCAGGCCTTTCGCCAAATCTGTGCGCCACGTGACAAAAGGGCGTATGGGCCCGGCGCGCTGCTCATGCCAATCAACATACGGCCAACGTAGGTGTAGTTGCGCAAAGAGTAAATGTTTTGAAAGGGAGAAGACGATTGTGTTTGGGCCTTTCTCAGCACAGGAGCTTTGTCAACAATTTGAAAGTCCAAGCGCAAATGCAAAATGATTGAGGGCAGTAGGGCCGAACCGCAAGCAGCAACAAAATGCTTCTTGCAAACTTTGGAGTACAAGAAGTTTTTGCGTGGCACCCTGGGTGTCAAGAGAAATCTTCTCCCAAACAGAAGGAACTTCGGCACACGCAGGGGCAACTCAAGCGCAAAACTTCAGGCCTCATCCGTACCGCAACCTCATCCGTACCGCAAGCAAAGCCACGAGAGAGCAGACATACGCAAATGCAAGCCATGCGCAAATGCAAGCTTCAGGCACGAAGTGGCACAAACTCGCCCGCAAGCCATGAAACCCTGCCACGTGACACGGAGGGGCACACAAGGCCCAGCCCCATGTCCACCCCAAACCAACCTTCCGACCCTGAAGCTTTGCCCCCTAACTGAACTCCCAAGCGCGTAAATGACTGAAATCACTTTGCTTTAAAGCCCCTTGAAAAAGTCCCTTGAAAACAACTCTGCCAAAACCGCCGCTGAGTGCGGGGCAGTGCTGGCAGCAGGCTTCCCGCCTTGTCACGGCAGCTTCGGCCGCCCGGGCCGACCCCAACATCTTCGCCTCGGCCTTGAGGCTCCAAAGAGATGAGAGTAATGAAGACTTGGAAGAGTAAGAGAGAGTAAGCGAGATGAGAGTGGTGCTGACATGAGAACAAATTCAAAAAGCATTAAGTTGAATTGGCCGTTGAGATTGCCAGGGATAGGCGCACACGAGAGAAAATTTGAAACGAGCCAACTGAACGCCTGCATAAGACCTTCCGCGGCCTTGCGTCCTGATGACGAGGCAGGGGCTGCTAGATGCCGGTGTGGACAGCCTCTTGGACGAGACTTTCACACTTCAGAGGGTTTCGGGAATGCCGGGGGCAGTCCATTCGTAGACCCGGAAGGTGTGGCTGTTGTGGTTGTGGTTGCCGTGGTTGCGGTGGTGGTGGTAGTGGTGGTGGTGGTGGTGGTTGTCGTGGTTGTTGGGGTGGTTGTTGCGGTTATTGCTGTGGTTGTGGTGGTGGCTGTGGTGGTTGTGGTGATGGTGGTGGGGATGGTTGCAAGTGGTGCGTGCTGTTGTCTGCCGAGGTGCTTCAGTGGATGCCTTGGTCGTCACGCACTTCTCGCCGGCATCCGTGGAGCTTCTGATAGATGAGGGGCAACCCAGCTGAACAGTTTTAGGGATCATTCACGCTGTTTGTATTCCACTCAGAATACCCTTTCGCCTTGCTTACTGACTAAAACTCCTGCAACAGTTGCTGAGAGCGGGCACCTCAGGGGCACAAGCAAAACTTGTGACAAGCGCTTCTTTATGGGCGATAGAACCACAAACCATCATCCGTATGGCGCAGCTTTAGCCACTACAGATGTGGATGGGATGGTTCGGGCTCACAGTCTACCACAACGTCGGAAAAGCCTCAGGCATCGTGTTCAATACAATGATAGCTCCACTGAGGTCCAACATGACGGAAGCTGTGGACTCAGACGGCGCATCAGGATCGGGCGGAAAGGCGGTCGAGGTTGACAAGATGGGATGAGGCTTTAACCCAGACTAACCGCCTTTTCACAGGAGGTTAGAGCATGACCTGTCACGTGTCTTGCCCTTCGCCCTCCCATCGCAGAACTCCTCGCGGATCCTTCCTCTGACGCACACTGAATGACCGTGACTCTGTGCGTGTAGCTCTCAGCTGTCAGCTAACACAGGAGCGAACTCCAGCTCTCGACGATTGGCCACCTCGCCTGCTTCAGTGCCAAGCTGGCTCTGTTTCACAGAGCTCTTTGGCAACGTTTCAGCATCTTGGCTGAAACTTAGGGCCTGCGCGAGGAGTTGGGGAACCCTGAATCAAGATCCAAAAGGTGGTTTAGCCCCGGACTTCAAGCCCCAGCCCCGGTAAGCCCTGAACGGAACAAATCGATACACTCCAATATGCCAACCCCAAACCCTGAAAGCCCTTAAGCCTTAAGCCCTTTTGACCAAACCGGCACCAACCAACCTCGCTCTGTCCAGTACCATGGGAAAGAGACCGTATCTTAACGCTGTGGGTGTGCGCGTGACTTTGTTGCTTCAATATGCTGCAGCTCTGCCGACGAGGTCTGAACAAGAGGTTGTGATCATCCTTCGTAGGTCTGCATTTCGTCGCCAGTTGGCTCTTCTTCGCAGTTTCTCAGTGTGTGGATTCGCTTTGAAACGAGTGCCGGTTCCTCTCAGGTGAACGAGACCAGCCTTCACATTCCACCTGAGACGCCGTTGAGAAGCTTGTCTTGCAGGCTATAGACTATAGATTCGCCGAACCTTTAAATCCAATAAGAGCTCTCCAGCCAAAGGTGGCTTTGGGGCATAATATGTCTTTATGAGCTGAGTTAGTAGTTCGTCTGGTGCTGACATCACAAGCCCGGGACTCCCAAGTGCGCAAGGTAGCAAGAGGGCAGTGCACAACATCTGCTTCTCTCGCCAGTTCTCGGGTTATAAGGAAACTTCACACACATCCTGATCTACACGACGTCAACTCTGGCGGAACAGTCCACGCCGCAGGCACCTTGACCTCAGCTTCCTATAGGCTTCCGGTAGGACTAAGCTCAGCTCCGCAAGCTCACGCTAGAGACTAGAGTCACTAGAGTCGCTAGAGTGCAGCTGCTGCCTTCGACTGTTCATGGCTTGAGCGGCTTGGGGTTTACGCATTGGGGTTCTGAGGCCTGCACATATTTGAGACAAGTCCGTCGAGGCTATATAGGTATTGTATAGGTATTGTTGCAGACGGTTCGATCGCGTTGTCGACCGGCTAAATGTTGCATTCAGCAATGGGGTCACGGTTCGGTGACGATACCGGTGCGATATCGGGCCATAAAGAAAGGACCCCATTAGAATAGATCGTTGCCGTTCCCTCCACAGGCCCACTTGATCATTGACGTGGTGGCTTCTGCTTCAGGCACGACAAGCTTTGAATTGAGCTAATTCTGTTTGGCAACAAGGCTTGGGGAGCCTGGGGGAGTGGTCTCTCGAGATGTCTCGAGTATCCCCGACTT